ACACACACATAGGCCAATTTGAATGAAATTAACTAAGAGAATCAAAATTGATCCCAAAGGCTAACCAAAGTGAAAATAATTTACCACAAAAATATGAGGAAAGCAAAAAAACAAAAAAACAAAAAAAATTAAGTGGCATGATAGTAAAGGTTTCCCGAGACATTAAGTTTAGTCGTGTCCGAGGCTGGGGGAGTTGTGCTCATCTCCATTTCTAAGTCAAAGAGCTGGTGTCTCTGGTGTCATGTAGCCAGCATGACTGCAGGGAGTGCCATTACCTTCCCGCTGAAGTGGTACGTATTGATTTACTCACATTTGTGAGTTTGGCATAATTAGAAACAAAACTGCCAGTATCATACAGCCCAAACAAATGGGTGAATGTATGGGATGAGCTTGCTGCAATTTTTTATGTTACCTATATAATTTACTGCATATGTATCGGTTTTATTTTCACACTTGCACACATAAAAAGTCATGGTGGGATTAGCTACACCAGCTCAGGGGCCCAGTCCAGTAATGACACACTGATGCTGGATACTATTGACAATAAGAACACCATTACTAATAGCTTTCCAGTCAGAGTTTTCCACCAATGAAAATGAGCTGCCAGAACAAACAACCGCTTCTAGGGTGAAATAGTACTTCCACCCCATCCTAACTAGCTCCCAGCCTGCAGATTTAGGGATTAGGGATGTTTTTATCTATCAGCCCAGACTCTGCACATCTCTATGAACAATCTGCACGGTCACGTACAATTCGATAATTGAGCTAAGAAGCAGAGGAAGAGGCAAGTAAAATTAAAATATCAGATCATTGCCTTGTGGCAAGGGATTAAAGGTAGGCCTTGTAAAATTCAATATTTTCTTAAGTGACCACTGTATGCACTGTTGTGAAGGGAGAGTGTTTCTGATTACAGAGGAAACCACCCCACTGGCTCCAAAACACTATTTGTATATTTCACTTGCCCTACTTCCCAAAGCACTTTATTATTTGGCTTCTAGACATCAGTACTTCTACATTTTCAGGTTACTCGCACCATTAGGAGAAGCACAGAAAGGATGAAAAGAGTCAACAGAGAACCTAAACTCTCTGTATCTCTATAATGGTGCTTTCTTTTGCTTGTACAAAGAGTGCATAGCAATTAGAAGCTACTTGGTCACAAGCCAAGAAATACCATCCAAATTGATCATCTCTGTATTCTGTTCTACTGGTGAGGTTTTTCCCCCCACTGCAAGTTGTTAAATTATTTAAACCATTGAAAGACCCTCTTCGACCATCTCAGACCATTATAACAATATTAAGGGAACACAACATAGTAATATATGAAAATGTATGCAACCATCTCTGTTCATTTCTATCAACTGCATTTTTTTGCAGGTGTACTATAAAATTTCCTTCACAGTGTCAGGATGAGTTCAAAGGGACATGCTTACAAGTCAGGGTTAGATAGATAAATACATAGATAGACACACATACACACAGAGAAACAAACACACACACATATATTTCATGAAAAACTGAATGTATGTAAAATGTAAAGGTAAATGTTTCCCCTGACATTAAATCTAGTTGTCTCCAAATCTTGGGGGTGATGCCCATCTCCATTTCTAAGCTGAAGAGCTGGCATTATCCATAAACACCTCTACAGTCATGTGGCCAGCATGACTGCATGGAGCGCTGTTACCTTTCTGCCAGAGCGGTACCTATTGATCTATTCACATTTGCATGTTTTCAAACTGCTAGGTTGGCAGAAGCTGGGCCTAACAGTGGGAGCTCACTCCACTCTCTGGATTCAAACCATCAATTTTTCAGTCAGCAAGTTCAGCAGCTCAGCAGTTTAACCCCAATTTTAAAATTGGGAGAACCAGCACGGTTGTAATGGTTTAATGGTTGGACGTGGACTCTGGAAATCAGGGCTTGAAACCTCACTCAGCCTCAGAGGAAGACAAAGGCAAAATCCCTCTGAACAAATCTTGCCAAGAAAACCCCATGATAGCTTCACCTTAGAGACTCTGTAAGCCAGATATGATTTGAAGGCCCACAACAATAACTTTTAAATAAGTAACAAAAAAAAAACTTTGATTAGATGACAGCCAAACTGAATTCAAGATTTAATTGACAGAAAGACTAGCATCTGAAGTATATTGTTGGCAGATCTAAGACTAAACTAAAAACATCAACATTCCGTTTATCAAGGATGTGTACACAATATTAAAATGCAAACTGGCTGTGTTTCTAGAAAAATAAATCTGTTAGTATTTGTCAATAAGAAATGGTTGCCTTCACTATGTGTGCTTGCTTGGACCAAGTTCCGCAATGTTCAGTGTGGCCTAATCCCTGACAAAAAGGCACAGGATAGTAGTCTGAAAGCAGGCCTCTGTGTGCTAAGTGCTGGTATCCTATATATGTGTCCACACAGAAGAAGAAAAAAGGTACAGCTCTCCAGATACTGGAATATAACCCATCTTTCACTATGCTCTACTGGTACTGAGGACACTAGTCTTTCTGTCAATTGTACTCATGTATAAGTTGACCTCATGTATCAATTGAGAGCTGGTTTGGGGACTAAAATTCTGGTTGAGAAACGGCAAGTCTCTTCTGGTGTGAGAGAATTGCCCATCTGCGAGGACATTGCCTAAGGGACGCCCAAATGTTTTACTATCCTGTGGGAGACTTCTCTCATGTCCCTGCATGAGAATCTGGAATTGACAGACGGGAGCTCACCCCACTCCCCGGATTCAAACCGCTGACCTTTCAGTCAGCAGTATTCACCCATTGCGATACTGGGGGCAATATGACTCATGGATAAATTGATACTCATTCTGTGAAGGGAGAAAGACCCAGTGCTGACTCAGGGGCCTAGCTGCCCATCGCCATTCCTCTGCTCAGAACTGTCTTTTAGGTTCTTCCAGGACTGACTCAGCTCTTGCCTTTTGGCCCTCTGCTCAGAGAATGAGGTGGTTTGTTTCAGCAAGTTAAGGCACAGTACTTACATTGACCTGTGGGTAAGTTGAGGGTCATTCCACAGAGAGGGGCAAGTGCCAATGCCACCTAAGAGGGCCTGCCGCCCCCAGCCAAGCATCCAAAAAGGCCAGAAGAACGTAAAGAGGGTCGGTGCTTCTTTGAGGTTATCCCAGGATGGACTCATCTCACTTCACACTGCTTTACATAGAGGAGGGAATGGTTCCTTTTTTGATAAGAGTTACAGCACAGTACTTATACTGACCCATGGAGAAGTTGGTCCAGGTTTATTTGTTTATTTATTTATTTCGGTCACTTCTACCCCGCCCTTCTCAACCCCCGAGGGGGGTTCTGGGGGTTGTTGTTTTTTTTACCAAAATTTCTAGACTTATACTTGAGTGTACAGGGCAAATAAATTGATTTCTCCATCCAAGAGGGCCAGAAATGGTGCCACAGCAGAGATCGCTGAAAGTGCTAGTGTTTCTTTTAGGTCCTTTCAACCCTGCAAGATTATCAAAGCAGATAATCCACATGATTATATGAATCTTCACTGCCATATAATTCAGTTCAAAGCAGATAATCTGGATTTTATATGGTAGTGTAGAAGAAGCCTTAAGTTTCTCACAGAATGGACCTTTCTTCTTTAAGAAAGGGACGGCTCCTTTCTTTTGAGATGGGTTAAAGTACAATACTGTACTCACATTGACCCATGGATAAGTCATTTTGGTATTGTTTTTCTGATTAAAATGTTTGGCCTTATACATGAGCATGTAGGGTATGTAAAACACCTCATCCAAGTATTTTTGCCCCTTACTTCCAGGTGGAGCCACAGTCCAGCATCCCCTGGAAGATCACCCTGAATGACACTCCAGTTTCTTGGTCGCTGTGAGTTTTCACTGAACTATTATCTGTTTGAGGCAAGTGTGAATGCTGCAATTGATTACCTTGATTAGCACTGAATAGCCTTGCAGCTTCAAGGCCTGGCCGGTTGCTGCCTGGGGACCCTTTGTTGGGAGGTGTTAGCTGGCCCTGATTGAATCTTGTCTGGAATCAACCCCCAGGCAGCAACCAGCCCGGCTTTGAAGCTGCAAAGCCATTCAATGCTAATCAAGGTGGCCAATTGCAACATTCACACTTGCCTCAAGCAGACAAGAGTTCTTTCTCCCACTCTGGACATTCCAGATATATAAACCTCACTTGCCTAGTTTCCAACAGAGCTCACAACCTCTGAGGCTGCCTGCCAAAGATGTCAGGAGAGAATGCTTCTGGAACATGGCCCCACAGCCCAGAAAACTTACAGCAACCCAGTGATTCCGGCCATGAAAGCCTTCGACAACACTCCAGTTCCTCTTTCCAAAAATGCCTAGATATGTATAATAATAAACACTCCACCTCAATCTATGAAGGCGGCTGTGGTCTTATTGGGACAACAACACAGATCCACCCAAAGCTTAAGTCACCGAAGGAAGCGGGGCCCTTGAAATAAAGGAAACGGGAGGGAAACTTTGAAGAACAAAGGCCTTGACCCCTCCTCGCGCTCACCCGGCCGCCAAGCGGGAAGAAAGGCAGGCCAACGGGGGCTCCCAGTCCAGGAGAAGCCACATGGCTGGAGGGGGCACCCCGTCACGTGGCTCCCGGCGGCCAACGGCAGCCCAGGACGGGCGGCGCAGGCCCCGCCCCCGCCTCGCTCCCAGGCCCGCTTTCCGCCCCTCCGGCCGCCTTCGGGACCTCGGCGCATGCGCAGAAGAGCCCGGCGCGCGGTCGCGGGGCTGGCAACTCGGACCAGAGCAGGGCCTAGGCACTCGCCAGGTGTTTTGGACTCCAACTCCCAGAAGCCTCGGCTGCCTTACCCGATGGTGAGGGATTCTGGGAGATGGAGTCTAAATCAGTCACCCGGGAAAACAGTTCCTGGGGATAGGATAGGCCGCTGGGGCGCTCCCTTCAGCCACAAAGCCGCCCGCTCTCGCCTTTTCGCCTGGGCCTCGGCTGGCGAGCCTGGCCATGGCCCTGGCTCTCCCCCAGGACGCGAGGCGTTCGCTTACCTTGTGGCTCCGGGCTGGAGGGGCGGCCGGTCCGTCTCCCCCGCTACCAGCCCGGCGGGCCCGCGCTCATGCCGCCACCGCCGAGGCCGAGGCCGAGGAGGAGGCCGGCAGCGCACAAGAGCCCTATTGTACTATTGCCGCCGCTTCTGGTGCTGCTGCTGCTAGCGCTGCTCCTGCCGCCTTCGCCTCGGAGGCTCCTCCTCTTCCCCTTCCTTCCCTTCTCTCTCTCTCTCTCTTCCTCCCTGTTGGCGCTTCCCTTTCGCCCGGCCTTGGCACCTGCTGCTTGCCCCCGCCTCGCCTTGGCCCGCTGTCGCCCACAGGCACGCAGGGGAAGGAAGGAAGGAAGGAAGGAAGGAGGGAACCCCACCGAGGCCTCCGTTGCCCTCTGCTGAGGCGCCCTCTCCACTCCTGGTTCCCACAACCAGCCACATTTCTCAAAATCCAATCTCCACAGGGACAGAAAGTGAGGTGGAATCTTCTGGAGAGGGGCACAGGCAGCAAAGCATACCCCACATGGGGTATTCGCCTTTTCCTATGCTATCCAAAGCATATGTTAGGAATTCTGGGAGTTGAAGTCCCAAACACCCAGAGGGCCCAAATTTGGCCATGCCTGATCTACACAGTGGTTCCCAATCTGTGCTCCATGGACCAACAGAGGTCAGCAAGAACTAAACTATGGTCTGCGGCCTTATTTATTTACTTACTGTATTTCTATACCGCCCTTCTTAGTCTATCAGCGACTCAAGGCAATTTACCACTAATCAGTATACATAATATCAAAATACAAATTAAAACATAAAAACAGTTTAAAACCACAGCAACACAATAAAACCCTTACTGTTAGTACTCTGTTGCAACAAGAGCGACTGGTCGCACGAAACCCTTATGGTGCCAAGGCTTATTAAATATGGTGTTCTGTGGGTGAGCAGATAGCAACTGCTGAATGGCATATCATAGAATCAGAGTTGGAAGAGACCTCATGGGCCATCCAGTCCAACCCCCTACCAAGAAGCAGGAAAATCACCTTCAAAGCACCCCCAACAGATAGCTATCCAGCCTCTGTTTAAAAGCCTCTAAAGAAGGAACCTCCACCACACTCCGGGGCAGAAAGTTCCACTGCTGAACCGCTCTCACAGGAAGTTAATGTTCAGGTGGAATCTCCTTTCCTTTAGTTTGAAGCCATTGTTCCACATCCTAGTCTCCAGGGCAGCTGAAAACAAGCTTGCTCCCTCCTCCTTAAGACTTCTTCGCACATATTTATGCATGGCTAAACATGTCCAGCTCTTTAAGCCACTCCTCATAGGGCTTGTTCTCCAGACCCTTGATCATTTTAGTCGCCCTCCTCGGGACACATTCCAGCTTGTCAATATCGCTCTTCAATTGTGGTGCCCAGAATTGGACACAACATTCCAGGTGTGGTCTAACCAAGGCAGAATAGTGAGGAAGCATGACTTCCCTGGATCCTTGTTTCCACAAACAGCCATATTCCTATGATTTCATAGCATTGTGCCAGGCCAGTACCAAGTGGTGTTGAATCGCATTCATTGTACTGTATAGATCCCCTGGTTGTGTACTGGGTTAAACCGCTGAGCTGCTCAACTTGCTGGCCAAAAGGACAGTGGTTCGAATCTGGTTAGCGGGGTAAGCTCCCGCTGTTAGCCCCAGTTTCTGCCAACCTAACAGTTCGAAAACTGTTGAGTAGATCAATAGGTACCACTCAGGCAGGAAGGTATCAGCACTCCATGCAGTCATTCTGGCCACATGACCTTGGAGGTGTCTGCGGACAATGCCGGCTCTTCGGCTTAGAAATGGAGATGAACACCACCCCACAGGGTTGGACATGACTAGACTCAATGTCAAGGGGAAACCTTTATCCTTACCAATAGATCTGCATAATATGTTGGGAGTTCTACCCTCAAGAAGACCTTGGGTGAATCCACAATGTGGAAGTCATGCAGTCGGACACCACTGTAATTGTCTTGGCCAACTTCAATGCGATGGAATCATGGTTTTTGTAGTTTTACAATACCTTCAGCCTTCTCTGCCAGAGTGATAGTGCCACACCAAACTACAAATCCCAGGATGCCACAGCATTGAGCCACAGCAGTTTAAGTGGGCTCAAACTGCAATGATTCTACAATGTAGATCAGTGGTTTTCAACCTGTAGGTCCCCAGGTGTTTTGGCCTTCAACTCCCAGAAATCCTAGCCAGTTGTTGGGATTTCTGGGAGTTGAAGGCTAAAACATCTGGAGACCCATAGATTGAGAAACACTGATGTAGATGAATCTCTTGTTTGAGCTGGAGCATTCTGAATCCAGAGATCTAGCCATGTTGGTCTGGACAGAGTTTTACAGGACAGAAAGAGATCTTGTAGCACCTTTGGGACTGAAAAAAGGAAATTAGTAACCTTCGCTTTCTTAGACTTAAGCCTGGCTGCTGTTTTATTGCACGGCTCAGAAAGTGAGGTTATATTCCCACTGGTTTTGAAACCCAACTATCCAGAAATCCCAGGCCTCCTACCATCATAGAAACCAAAACCTAACAATGCGGTTAGTTAAGTGTGCTTCTCCTTTTTTTGTTTTTAAATAAACTGCATTCCTCCACAGATAGTTGGCTAGGTCAAAGACCAACTGCTTGTTCGCTTAACCAAAGCAAAGATTTTATCGATGCATAGGTCAAAGTCATGCACCACAAAATATGCCTGTGGGGTATTGTGTACATATGCAAGTACAGTAACTCTGAATGGAAGAAAAATTATGGGGAACTCTCTTATTGCAAACAAAACTCAAAATGAACTCCCAAAAAGCAGTTAGTATGACAGGGGACGGGGCATAGTGTACAGGTAGTTGCTCAAGCAGAAGATTGGTCGGAAGGTATTTTTCCTATAGAGTCCGAGGCCCACCTTTACTCAAACTACTAAAAGTACACAAAGTACTAGCCACTGGCAAGAACTTGAGGGAAGAGGGAGTGATCTACGGGCTATAAATATGGTGTAGGTGTTATGCAGAAATTATATACAATGGGCCCTTGGTATCTGCTAGTGTTTGGTTCCAGGATTCCCCATGGATACCAAAATCTGTAGATGCTCAAGTCTCCTTAAATACAATGATGTAGTAAAATGGTGTCACTGATATAAAACAGAAAAATAAAGATTTGCTTTTCGGATTTTTTTAGTACATTCAAGCCATGGATGGCTGGATCTGTGGATACAAAATCTGTGGATATGGAGACCTGACTGTATTTGTCTGTCACATGACAAGGAGATTGGTCTTAGCAACACTAAGTTCTAAATTAAGATAAAACAAATGAGTGGACTTTAGAGCAAGTCAAGCGGGATCTATCACTAAAAGTGAAAATGAGTTTAAAAATGGTTGGTTCAAGGAAACCACTGCCCTTGTAAGACTTGAGAAGGGTTCTTACTTACAGGGTGTCTTGGAGGTCTCTTATTCATAGGGTTGCCATAAGTTAAAATCGACTTGACAATGAACGATGTCCTACTTAGTTGTGCTAAAAGTATAAGAGTTCAACTAGAAGCCCATGTGACTTGAGAATTAATAAATATGCAAGTTGAGTTCAGCTCATTTTATCTCCATACAGATATATCCTTAAGCAGTTATTTAAACGCAAATAAGTAAAATGCACATGAAAACCACTGCAGACATGAGAACCTCATTATTGCTCCAAAAAATATTCACACCACAAAATGGTTTTTTGTCTCACTAGGTCCTCTAGTGCAATTCTATGAAAAGGTAAAGGTTTTCCCCTGACGTTAAGTCCAGTTGTGTCCGACTCTGGGGGTTGGTGTTCATCTCCATTTTCTAAGCCGAAGGGCTGGCGCTGTTCATAGACACCTCCAAGGTTATGTGGCTGGCATGACTGCATGGAGTGCCATTATCTCCTACCGAAGCGGTACATATTGATCTACTCACATTGACATGTTTTCGAACTGCTAGGTTGGCAGAAGCTGGGCCTAACAGCGGGAGCTCACATCGCTCCCTGCGACCTTTTGATCAGCAAGTTCAGCAGCTCAGTGGTCTAAACCCACTGTGCCACTGGAGGCCTGTGCAATATTATGGTATAGTTAAAATACAGGTTTTTCTGTTATTCATGACTTCAGATATCCACAAGGATGTATTGGAATGTATCTATCACATATAGGGGAGTTATACTCTATGCGCAATTCATAGCCATCCAGTTAAAAAAGCAGCATAACAAGCCTGACCAGCTGGTACAGTTGCAGCAAAATTTCACCGCCTCCCTTTCTGTGGAGGAAATCACTGCTGACTCACATTCAGTCCTTTGCATAAGTAGAAAATCTTATGTGAGAGACAAGGGAAAGAAGGAATCTGCCCACACTTCATACAACTTGTGGCTCTTAGTCAGCTATCCAGTTTCCTCTAGAAATCAACTAGGTTTTCAAGAACTTCCATTTTTTCCTGTTTTCTTACTGACAGGAAGAAAGCAGTCTTTGTGGAAATAGCTTGGGGATGTATGAAAGAATTCTCCTTCCTCCCCCTCAGTATTCCCTAGATGTCTGCAGACAGGGAGGAGAGGTTGCATAAATCACATGCTGTGATTCATCTCTCTCTGTGCACATGTGACCCAACTAGCACCTGATACAGCCCTGAGGACAAAAAAATGCAGTGTCTCGCATAAAGGAATGCTTTGTGGACAAACGGGTGAAATTCTGAGCCTTTTGGAAAAAATTCTCAAGCTGAGAAAACTGGCTTTCATCTGCATCAGTGAGAATAAGAGGTAACTTCTGGAAATAAAATGATGCAATTATATTTTCTTTATAAGGCACTTCAAAAGTTCCTGCTCACGACCTCACCTTCTTAATATGGAAATTCATTACAATAATTCCAGTTTAAAACATAAACTCGGGTCTTACCTCAAAACAAAAGTCAACAGACTGCAGGATTGATACTCTTGCTGCCTGCCTTCAGGTTGACTCCAATACATAGTGATCCTATCATAGGGCTTTCTAGGCAAGACGTATTTAGATGTGGTTTGTCATTGCCTTCTTCTTAGAGACTGTGTGACTTGCCCAAGATCACTATGTGTTTTTCTACAGCTGAACAGGGAACTGAAGACACTCTCCTCTAGTCCCAAGTCTAATACTCAAACCATTCAACACAGTGGCTCTTACTGATTCCCTATGAGACTTAAACACTATTTTTATAAGACTAAACCAGTTCATAGACATTGTAATCTGTATTTGCTGGTTGCGGCGAAACTACTACGCAAAGTAGAGTTGTATTCTGCAATAACGCTTGCACAATTTTAAACAGAAGGTCAAATGATGGACAACAGAAGCTCTGTTAAGTAGCAGGTGTTATTGTAGGACAGGACTAGGCAGGGAAGGGGCAATTTATCTTTACTATGCTTGCTGGATGGGTTGAAATATGGCAGCATATTTCAGCTTCCTCAAAGTGACATGATGCCATTTTGACCAATTTTCATGTGTTCTGGGGATGTTTGAGAGGCTTGTGGGCAGTAAACTGTTAGGAGATCTGAGGTTGGAGAGATTGCTCCAAAATCAGGGGGATATGATGAATTTAACTGGATTTGGGGAAGGTTTCCCATATGCCACACTTAGGGGTCCCAAGAGTGCATTTTACCCACTCTTGTTGTAGAATATTATATGGCTACACACAAATGACAGAAAATCCCAGAATTATTCTTGAATTTTCTATAAGGCAGTGTGAGATCTGTGAGAACATTGAGGTTTATACTGACCCTGCCAGTACCTACCCACATTTGATTTGGGGGAACCATATTTTTTTCAGTCAGAAACGCCAAAGTCTCAGTACAAAATAAAAGATTCCCCTCATTAGGACAGTTTGATATCAAACTTCCTTCACTAGACTATAATATCAGTTAAGACAGAACACACTGGTTAGAATTAAAGATATTTTGTCTGCTAGAACAATCACAGGTATCAATTTCATTTTTCATAACTTGGGTAGAGTCATTCAAATCTATTCCATATCAAAGATACAAATCATACCATGAAATGAGGGTATATTTGCTTTTATCCTTATTGTTTTTGATAGAACCTCTTCTCTGTAAGGAGGAGATAGGCACAAAAGTAAAATCAATTTATAAGTAGCATCTCCTGCAGGAACAGATTGCAGCCTACCACATTCTAGTCAAATGCTGGAATTTTTTTTAAAAGCAACCAACTAATAGCTAACTTGCAGAACTCACTACTAGTTTCGTTAGCCATTTCAACTTCAGTGCTTTTTCTTCTGACTGTGATACAGGCTGTAAGCAGCTAGTTGATCAGTAACAAGAGATTATGTGTGCTCTAAAGGGAAGACAATGGTATTTTTCAGACACTGAGTATTAACAGTTTCAACCTGATCTAATAAATTTGGGTGAAAGTTTCAATTCCAAACTTGCATGGGAGTTCCCAAAATGAGACACATTTGACAGAATCATATCTAAAAATAGCAGCAACTTCTCCAAGCCACACCAGCCCATCAGATTTATATTGCCCTATTATTTTTTAGGAATTTATTGGAAGAATATCCAAAAATTTCAGTGATTAATGACTGAATATGTGTGACCAGGACATTAGACATTATTTCCTAGATTTGGAATTGTGTGTGTAATATAGTATTATTTAGATTAAAATGCATCATTCAACACTAATAAACTGGAGATTTTCATTTAAATATTTATTATAAACCACATTTCACAAGTGCTAGACAAGCTGTATATAAAAAGCATAACGTACAAAACCCTGATAAAAGCACTTACTGGCATATGATACCCCAAAAATGTAACTAAGCAGTTTTACATTAACAACAACCAATGTTAGGTAAGGGTATTTAATTCACACATATTCAGAGACTATATAAATTCCTTCCATTTTAAAAGTATAAAAAGAAATAAAGAAATGTAATATAAAACCTTCACTGATTGGAGAAATTGGCGCTCAGTACACATTAAAGAGACATTCTCTTATAAAAGTAAAAACCCTATGGTATTTATCCAGCATTAAAGTACTACAAGAAAGAAACCCTTATTTACAAATAGCACATACAAGCACATATTTTGAGACTGCAGAAAATAAATGGATAGTTATACAATTTTATATGACACCACAATTTCTACAGACTTCAACACAGTTACAGTCCTTGTTGAGTATTGTATTTACTCAATTTTGCTTAAATCTGTTCAGTGTAGCTACAATATCTGTTGCAGTCATCATAGGTCAGACTGATTATACACTATCAAATTAACATCCAATTTTGGTAACCTTTATTTTAACATTCTGAACAAGCTGAGAGTCCAGCATTAACTACTTACATCTGAGACTGTAATTTGCATAATTTTAAGTTTACAATGACACTAAGAAAAGGAAATGAAGTGATTAATCTTCTCAAAAATTTCAGGGAGAATTTAGATATCTGGAAACAAGCTGATATTTTGTTTCTTACAAAAAGAGGAATTCAGAAATGCAAGCCTCTGTCATATCTACAAACCTTGCTCCTTTTGAATATAATAAATCAGGGTAGACATCCAATGCAATAAGCTCTCAAATGTATCAACAAGAAAAGACAAAGTCTCTGAACTGGACGCCTGCACCAGAAGCTGAAATACTACTAGATCCAACCAGAAATCTGACTTTTGAAGCTGCTCATCAGACCAAGTATAACTGAACTATCAAAGTTGCTACATGATAAAATACTGAATCATCATGAGACTTGACAAAAATGTTAAACCATCTGAGGTGTTTTTTTAAAAAACTCTGTCAATAAAAAAGTAGAATCATCCCCTAAAAGGTTAATAAACCCTTTTTCAATTGTGACTTTCCATTGTGAAATGAGTGTTTTTGATAAGATGATATCTATATCATCTTGTCAAAAGCATATCAGCTATAAAAGGTAAACTTAATTTTATTTGCAAATTGATTGCAACTTGACAAAATTAATGTCCATGTGTACTAGCCTTCTGAGATTTGTAGGCAAACAAAATTATTAGAATATTTGATGGAAATCTTTCAGATGTTGGAACCATATGAAAAAGGAAGTAAAAGAAATCACCAGCTGCGTTAAAGACGATGATGGTAACAATGACAATGATTATTATTTATGCATATAATAGCACCACCAAATGTACCTGGTTCTTTATGATAAAATAAACAAAACAGTGGATTCTGAAAGGCATACAATCTGGATTATTTCTGTATGCACATACACACATATAAGAAAGATAAACAGGAATGAACAGGAAAGCTGTACATTACTGTTGCAAAACAATACATCCAGATAAAATGCAAAAAGAAAGCAATGTAATACAAAAGCACACCAACCAATACATGTAATCAATATGTACAAGACTGCAAAACAACATCAAGCTAAAATTCCAAAATCTTTGGGAAACAAAAAAAATGTTCAATTGGTTTTTGTAAAAGTATTTGAATTGGCTGGTATGTACTATTATAAATGTTTTCCCTTTTTCTTCATTTTGTGAGGAAAATAATCAATTCGTTCCTTTTAAAACATGTGACTACTAATTCAGACTGCATACAAACCTAATGCATATTTCAATGGTCAAGGGAATTACTTCTCAATGAGATGCTTGGGTTCACATTCCCATCTGCATATCAGCAAAGTTATAGAAGTTGTCTACTTCCCTGGAAGCAGATGACTTGTCCTCAGATACAAAAACCTATATTTCAAAATCAACAAGAAAGTGTTAAATACTCACAATGCTGAACATGATATCTTATTCCAGAATTCTAGAGAAATGGATCATGTTAATGAACTATTCATATTTTAATCCATTATAACTAAGGGTCTGCTTATTTTCTGTCCAGAAGACAACATCACCGAACATTGAAGCTGCTGTGAAGAAGTGATTTTAGCTTTCAGTATCATTTTTCTACTCTTATCTTCTTAAACTTTAAAACTGAGCTTTGCTGGCATGTGAAGTCAGAAGAAAGGAAATAAGGCATATACACAGTTAATTTTTCACTTCAAGAACCAGTTATGTGTATGGGGTTCAAATGCAGTACCAGAAACAGACCTCAATATTCAATTCTCTATCATAATACTGAATGGCTGGCAATGGTTAGTAAATGTAACTTTCCCCACAGGGTTGAACTATGATCTTTGCATGTAGGCATCATGTTGAGGGAAGTGAATTTTTCTTAAACATGGGACTTAACAAACTACCAACACAATCGTGTTTCAGACTGAACCAAATGATCTTGTGCCCAACAGTGGAGAAAGCAATAAAGTTCAGTAACTTGCGAAGCATAACAATGTTAGAGAAATGATCAGGTCTGCTGCTTACCTTAGCTCCACTGAAGACATTTGCAACAATATCCTGGCAGGCTGCTATCGTACCATCTCCATTGAACTCCAGAGCAACAACAGGACCTAGTAAGACATGTGTTTGCATTGTTAACGTTTGAGACTGTATCTATTTCTTTCTTTCCAAATTTTGTTTGAAAGAACACAGCTACAGAATGTGTTTCCCATCTGTGTATATCCTCAACCCTGCTCCAGAGAATTGGAGATCAACTGGGGCAGATTTTAAAGTGTTACAATTAGGTGCAGATAGAGAAGAAAAATTCTCACCATATGAGAAGACTGTTGGTATGTCAAAAGGACCTCTAGGAATTTTATTATATTTGCGCAACGAAAGCCATTCCTGTGTTCTCTTATCCTCCATAAAAACACCCAAAAGCATTGACCAAAAAAGAGTACAGTGGACCCTCTATATCTCGGGGTTTTGCACCTGCAAATCCAGCCAGCCATAAATTGAAACTATTTTTTTTAAAAAATTAAATACTGCCAGTACGTTTTTTAAAACACTCTTCAAAAATAATGAGCGAATAGGTAGTATGGGGCAACTCATCCCCACACAGCTTTTTGCTCCTTGTACATTCAAGAAACAACATCTATTCTTAGAATTTAAAATTTGAAGTATACTAGGTAGAAGAATTGGTCTCTGGAAACAAATGGTTTCTATTAGACTGACAACTAAACATTGCACTTTTGCTATCACATTTCTAGAACTGCAGCAAAAAACAAATTTATACATGTATATGTGGAATAATAATAATTGTTATAATGCAAAGGGAAACATTATAAAATACTTTCCTCTAATATAAGCATTTTAGATAGTTTTTTTCAAAGGAAATTTCTGTGACATAGAAGTCAGGCCTGGCAGTCAATCCGTTTATATCAGGCTTGATAGGGTGATGTCTAAAACTTAAACATATTTTGAACAAGGAATGCTACAGTCGATATAATGCAATTTCCCATTCCCATAAAATACAGCTGTACATCTTGGAAGTATATGCAAAGAGAGCCTTTTGGAGAGGGCCTAAAACATAAATACTTGTTAATTTTTTTGGCATTTTAGAGGTTTTGCAACTTTTAATTCATGTCTCTCTTAATGTACACCAGTAAATTATGCAAATGTGTGATGTGGTTGGAAACCCCCAGCCTTCCTTTAGTTGGAGTCAAGCACCTGCCTCAAACTTCCTCTGAGGCTGAAAGTGTGCAAGTTGCTCAGAGAATCCTGGCCTCCGACACTCAAACCACCATGGCAAGCTGCTCCTTCTTATTTTGGGTAGCTTGAGAGATTCTTGAGTTAAAGTGAAAGATAAAAAATGGACCAAGTTAAGTTTATGAGGAAACCTTTCAGTCACTTAGACTGGAAAACAGACCCCAGCTCTCACATAATTGAAGGATTACCTAGATCAGTGGTTCTCAATCTGTAGGTCCCCAGGTGTTTTGGCCTACAACTCCCAGAAATCCCAGCCAGTTTACCAGCTGTTAGGATTTCTGGGAGTTGAAGGCCAAAACATCTGGGGACCCTCAGGTTGAGAACCACTGACCACCAGATACAGCTCTTCAGCTTATCTGAATTTCACTAGATTTTAATGCTAATATCGCTAATAACTCTGGGAATATTTTGTAACAACTGAAAATATCCTGCAAGGTATCTGATCTAAATTTACTCCTGGGATCCTGGGATCCTGTAACCTTCATTGTAAAGTCTAAACTATTTTTTACAAAAGTTTGTGCAACAACATGTCAGCTCCCATCATTCCTTGCCTTAGGGAGTAGAGCTGAAATAAAATGAGATACCCGTGTGGTATTTTAGAATGAACATACCTTTTTCAAGTAAAGGGAGAAATTCAGGTGCTCTTTGCTGGAACACACGGTGAGCATCATCCGCTTTCATTGGAACTTCTTTGGTCTGCACTAGCCCAAAACCTTTGCCAGTCATCTATTCAATTTCAAAAGGAATCAGAATTTTGTTTGGATTAGGTAGACATTATTTGATATGTAATTTTACACTCAAAAGCACTATATTCAATATATGCAACTAAACAATTAGTTATGGATCCCTTCCTATTTGATGCTAAACACTTTCACAAAAAGACCTTTCCCATTCCTTACCCACAATTATACTATTTTGCAATAGGAAAAGCCTAAATACCCTAAAGACACTTGATAATTTCTGAGCAGGGTCAGTCCTGATTGGAGCCTGTAAAGGAGACCACCAATGAATACAATGTGCTATAGGCTATATTTCAGAGGAAGGAACTGGCAAAGCCATCTCTGATTGCTTAAGAAATTAATGGGGTCACCATAAATCAACAGATGACTTGAATACACACAGGAAGAGGCAACAGCCGCAAAAATGGGCAAGCATGAGGCAAAAACAAAAACTCTGTCTTAATACAAATCAGACACAGTTCTGAGGCAGCAACACTATAAAAGAGGTTTGTCAGTTAGTAGGAACGACTGGTTACCTGTCTGAGCTTTAGGCTGAGCAAACCATTTTAAATGTTATTTTTGTGTTAATGGCAAACTAGATTAGCTTAAAATGCTTTTAGACACTAACTGATCTTTACTGCCACATTTCCTTTGAGAATTAGATATATATCAATGATGGATACTTTTAAATAGCACTAAAAACTTCATACAACAATTATGTTTACTGTGAAGACAGCAAGTGGGGTAATTATTTATTAATTCAGAAAAAAGACGTAACCAAAGCTATCTCAAACCTAAGATTTTTAGGGTGTATTTTATTATCCAACTCTATGTAATTGTAACTTTTGGAAATCAAATACACGTTAATTCCAAATTGATAGAAATGTACATTAGTAGAAAAATCAAGAACAGGTTGCTCTGTTTACATAGAACTATCCAGCTGTCCTTGCATTTGATCAGGTCACTTGCAAAAGTATCATATATACTCATGTGTAAGTCCAGGGCAGGTTTGGAGATCAAAATTAAGGATCTTGGTATGATCCGTGGATAAGTCAAGGGCTTATCAGAAAAGAGAAGGCACCAATGCTATTCAGGACCAGCTGTCCTCAGCCACCATCACCATTCTCTTTCTAACATTTAAAAAGGCCAGAAGCAGTGCCATGGTGTGGAGAGTAGAGGGGGTGTTTTTTTTAGGTTTTCGCAGGACAGATTAACTCTCTGTTTGCCACTCTACTAAAAGAAGGGGATGGTTCCTTTATTGACAAGAGTTAAGGCACAGTATTTACGACTTGTGGATAGGCTGACCAAGTCTTTTGGGGCTGATTTTTTGGCTAAAATTTTAAGACTTATACATGAGCATATAGAATAGATGGGCTACAAACAAGATCAATATCTCAGGATTCTGTGACAGCCCACTCTGTAAAGAACTATATAGAAAAACACATTATATGATCACTATAGCAGTGTGTCACTTCAGTGATTGGCTATACCAAATATGCTTTCCCAAAAGACATTCAGACACTACACATATGTTCGGCACCTTTACTGTGGTCACTAGAAACTGAAACAGTTTTCAAAACAAATACATTCGGATGCACAAATGTGCTCCTCACCTCATCAATCAACTTCCTAGCATTGGCAGTGGTATAATCCCCAGCAAAGAATACCACAAGGCAGGACTCCTCGCTGTGTTTCTGACGTCTCCCCTGTGTCACTGGAATAATGCTTTTGTTGCCATCAGTTGAGATCCTGACACCCTTCAATTCTTCCACAGTTGGCAATGGTACACACTCCTGAACTGAGACATCTTCTCCTAGAAGACCCCAGTTGTTCTCCCCTGAAACAGGTGTGAAGTCATGGATATTGCTCCATGTGTTGTTAAAGATGCTCAGTCCTGCATCCTTCATCTGCAAAGCCAGCTCTGGATAATAGTACTGGAAGCACCCAAACTTCATACCCGTAGATGATTCGATAATGGGTTGGGTGGCACAGCACAGAAACACTTCCATCTTTCTACAGTCCCGAGTGCGAAACTGTTGACAAGCCACTACACATTTGCAATCCTTGCAGTCACGGAAGAACACACTGCCTTTGACAGGTCCCAAAAAAATTCGGCAGCCTGTACAGTCATCAATAGTAATTGTAGCTGAATGGTCAAAGATGTAAATATTGCAGTTTTCACAGTCCTGAATCACAAACTGTTGGCCTGCAACTTTCCCAGGTAAACGTCCGACTGTTTCATCTTTCAGTCCAGAAAACATGTAGTCTTTAGGATCAATCTGGAAGAAAGAGACTCCATCAGTAAGAGAAAAGGTGTGATAAGTACAGGGTTTTCTTATGTTAGATCAGTCATGTACAATCTAGTATTTAAGTGAAGACCCTTCTGCTGGAGGGAATATGCTTAATACACCTGAGGGGAAAAAGAATCAGAATCTCTGTGGCTTACATTGGGAACATACATTATTATGGATACCTTAGAGTAAGCTTTAGCAAAGCAGGTCTCGCAATTATACTAATAAATACAAGAAAGTAAATGTTTTTGATAAATTCCTTGAAGAAAATGAAAGATTCTGAACAACACAGAACATTCAATGAGTCAAATTAATACATGGCACAACACATAGAGTATATACACACCACTTCCGTGTCCCCTTATTCTATTAGCTCAGAAACAAAATCACACTTTTGTACTTAATGTGTAGCGCAGCAATTAAATGTCTACACCACAGTGATGTTACAATATGGAAGAGGAAGAAGATTCCTGCTTTTTAGGGATATAACTCCTTTAGGGAAATTCTGTGGTGTATTCTACAATGTTTTAAGGATGGTTATAGCTAGTAAGGACCCCCCGGTGGTGCAGCAGGTTGAACTGCAGAGCTGCTGAATTTGCTGACCAAAAGGTCAGTGGTTTGAATCCGGGGAGCAGGATGAGCTCCCTCTGTAAGCCCCAGCTTCTGCCAACCTAGCAGTTCGAAAACATGTAAATGTGAGTAGATCAATAGGTACCGCTTTGGCAGGAAGGTAATGGTACTCCATGAAGTCATGCCATCCACATGATCGTGGAGGCATCTACGGACAATGCCGGCTCTTCAGCTTAGAAATGGAGATGAACACCACCATCCCAGAGTCAAAACGATTAGACTTAACGTCAAGGGGAAACCTTTACCTTTACTTTTAAAGCTAATAAATCTAATTTGAATAATAACAATAACTTTATTTATATCCCACCACCATCTCCCAAAAGGACTTGGGGCAGCTTACAGAATAGAATATAATAATGCCATAATACACATAAAAGACAGGTAAAATTACATCAACGTATTGAACCAGAGAATGGATGCAAAGGACATATGCAGATTTCAGATTTCCCATTCCTAGGTGATCTTCTACATTGCCTATAATATGAAAAACTATAGTAGTTTATAGTTATACCATTTACCAAACAAAATTAAAATAGAAAGCAAAGTGAAACAGAACAAAGTGTTGTATCTAGTTGTCATAGTACCAAACATGAATGAAACTATTCTTCTACAGTTTTAAGAATAGTGCTAATAATGACAAATCACTATTATTTTTCACATTCTTCCCCTGCTCCCCTTGGAATTGACAATTTTGAGAACACTGTTAATACACTTTCAATCAAAACTTCCAGACAGTAGGTATGTTAATCCATTGCAGCAAGTAACGGTTTTGCAGCGCTTTAAATGCTAACTAGTTTAAATCAAGGGAAGCTTTAATGGACTGGAGCCACAAACCATCAAATAAAACTTGTTTGTCTTTAAGCTGCAACAAGGCTCACTTTTGTCTTTGCTGCCACCCAGTTTTGCTTCCTCAAATATCTGTCACTTCCTTCAAAGGAAAGAAAGCAGAATCCACTTTTGAACAGAGGCTAAGATCAAACCTAAGGTTTGTACACTGCCAACGTTTGCTTAGAAAGGAGATATGAACTGGTGCATCAAGTTTTTATTGACTCGTCAAACAAAATGGCATTAAAAAAAGTTGTGAAATAAAAATAAATAAATGGCTGGAGACCTGAGTGGAAGCCGTCCACATCCCAACATTGTCCAGCAGATCCCAAAGCCTGTGTGTCGGCACTGTGTCATTTATTGAGAAGGCTCTTTTGCCTTAATTCCCATCCTCCCCCTCCGTCTTAGGACATATTAAACCCAAGGCTTGATGTAATCCACTTGAAAGCTTTAAGGAGGGCATTTCGTCATGGTTAAATATAAAAATTGACAGACTATGGACATGAATCGGTGTTTGAGTGCTTAAAAGTTAGAGAATACCAGCACTTCTTGATCTACCTTCTTCTGTGCTGTGTCATTTCAAAAGCAATTAATAAATCCAAATATTTACACGGCATCCATAACCAGGTCTAAGCATTCAAAACTAGTTTGTTTTGCCTGGAAAAGTGCTGTTATAGCAAAAATGTGAATATTTTGAATTCATTTCCTTTGCATTCTGTCTGAAAACTCAGGCATTTTTGTGGTTAGGTCAGGGAACATCTCTCAAACAAATGGCACAGCTTAAAAGGAAGGTGACTGTCTTTAACTCTGGATATTATTTGCCACTTGGAACAAGTAATGACTCTTGTGTATAAATTTTTAAAAGTGTCCCCAATGTTCAAATTTAATTTGACAATGCACACTGCTGTCTAGCTAACGGGCATAACACAAACACTAGCACCCACACCTTTTGAGGGGAAGGGAACTGAAATCCTCAAAGCTTACATTTTATATTTACACACAGAAATAGATCTAGTTCTTGCAATCCATATCAAATGATGGTTGTTAGATGCCTTCAAAACAATTATGTCTTGCTCCAATCTTATTCTAGGGAATTAATTGGCAATATTTATTTTTAAGATATTTGCATTTGCCTTCATTTTATGTGAGTGTGACTTGACCATGATCAACCATGGCTCAGTAGGAATTCAAAACCTGTTCTCTCACATGCAAACCACTACACCATGCTGGCTCCAACAAAGTACTTTACACTAGGCACGCACAACCTGCGGTCCTCCAGCTGTTTGGGCCTCCAACTCCCAAAATTCCTAACCATTGAACAAGCTTGGGAGTTGGAGGCCCAAACAGCTAGAGGGTCGTAGTTTGAGGAAGCCTGCTTTACAAAATAACTAATCAAAATTAATTTGTTTTAGTAATCAACCTATAGTTACTATCATTAACGCTGTACTACATTCTTTAACTTGTAATCTTTTATGAACCCTCAGGATCTGACTTACAGTGAAGCCTATCATGAGGTTTTCTCAGCATGCCTGTTCAGAGGGGCAACCTTTGACTTTCGAGACTGAGAGAGTGTGACTTGCCCAAGGTCACTGAGTGGATTTCCAAAGCTAAACAGGGATTCAAACCCTGTTTTCCTGGTGTCCTAATCCAATGTTCAAACCACAACACCAGAAATGCTCAAGTCCTCTACATAACAGAGTTCAAAGAATACATAGTGCACTTAATAAGAGTGTGCAATATGTCCAACAATAACTGTTTTCCCCATAAAGCTTAAGCAATAATGCGACACTATGAAATAGTGTCAAGCACACTGAGTGACATTTCTCTATGCTAACCCTGGTCTCTTCAAGAGGCAGAAGGTATTGCTTCTAACATGTGAAGACATATGAATTCAAATCTATTTCATAACAAACAGACTGTTGGCCACTGTGAACAAAGAGCGGAAAATAAGGGGAACTTAAGAGAGCATGACTTCGTCTTGGGAAATTTACAATGTTTGCTGTGAGTTTTCCGAGCTGTATGGCCATGTTCCAGAAGCATTCTCTCCTGATGTTTCACACACATCTATGTTAGGCATCTTCAGAGGTTGAGGAGTCTGTTGGAAACTAGGCAAGTGAGGTTTATATATCTGTGGAATGTCCAGAGTGGGAGAAAGAAATCTTATCTGTTTGAAGCAAGTGTGAATGTTGCAAATGGCTACCTCGATAAGCATTGAATGGCCTTGCACCTTCAAAGCCTGGCCAGCTGCTGCCTGAGGGATCCTTTGTTGGAAGGATCTCAGTAAAATTTACAATAGATTCTTGGTGTGATTTCAGGACCCCCCATGTGGATACCAAAATCTGTGGGTGGCTCAAGTCTATTATATACAATGACATGGTGAAATGGCAAAATGTTGGAATATTTTAAAAATATTTTCAAGGCAAGGATGGTTGAATCCATGGATGCAGAATAAATACAATATGAATAAACAATACTTGAAATCCCATGTCCACACTTTTGTTACATCACGAATAAATTACTGCAACTGGCTCCACTGGCTGCCAGTCTGCTACCGAGCACAAATCAAAATGCTGGCTTTAGGCTATAAAGCCCTAAACGGTTCCAGCCCAGTTTTCCTGTCCGAACACATCTCCCCCTATGAGCCATCTCGGAGGTTAAGATCTTCTGGGGACACCATGCTCTCAGTCCCGCCTCCTTCGCAGGACCTTCTCAGTGGTGGCCCCTCGGCTGTGGAACTCCCTCCCCAGTGAAATAAGATCAGCCCCCTCCCTTCTGACCTTCAGGAAAGAGCTAAAAATGTGGATATGGGACCAAGCATTCAGTTAGTAATCTAGCAGTGCAATAAGAGAACATGGAATAGTGCAATGATAATCTGGAATGGCGATGGACTATGATAATTGATTGCGTGGTTTTAAATAAGTGGTTTTAAAGTTGATATGTTTTAAATGATTGTTTTAATATATAGGTTTATTTTATTGATGTGTGTTCTTATGGCATCAAATTGCTGCCAAAGATGTGAGCTGCTCTGAGTCCCCTACGAGGTGAGAAGGGAGGGGTATAAATATGGTAAATAAATAAAATAAATAAATATACCAGTAATGTGCCATTTAATATCACACTTCTACAACAGTCCTTCCAACAACCATAGCATAGATTATCTATATGTAAAGCTGTTATGTGCTGAATTCAGTTCTTTATCCAACCTGCTAAGTGCTCACATCTCACAAGATCTTTCAAGATCCCAGTTTTTTAGTGTTTTTGGCAAACCTGATTATAGAAACTGTAGTATACAGTCCACTGCAATCTACATGGCATTGCTGACATGATGAAGCAAGGTTCCTTTTACTGCCACAAGAGGAAGTGAGTCAAAGCCCAGGCGGACGTTTTCCTTAGTTCAAACCAACGCTACAGAACTTGCCACAGCACGATCCAAATGTCCCATTTTTAGTCATTTTCCAGCAGCTTAATGCACAAGGCACAAGTAAGCAAAAATACTGAACAGGCCAGGAAAAAAAGGCGCAGATTACAAGACTGGTTCAAACACAGCTGTGTTTGTTTGTGTTACTAACAAGCCCAGAATCCTTTGGGAAAAGGAGAGCGGCTCTTGTCGCAAAGGATGCTGGGGGAGACATAAATGCAGCAAGAGCCTTACATTAATTACACAAGATTATACGGATACTACAGCCTTAGTCACGAAGGACCGCCAGCTTCATTTTAAATCCCAGCGTGGCAGGAAGAACACAAGTTGTGGTGCTGCAACTATTAATGGATATGTGGCACAACATTTCCTAAAGTGGCATGTAAATGTACTTATGGATGTAAATGTACTTATGGATTTCAGGCATGGGCAAACTTCGGCCCTCCAGGTGTTTTAAACTTCAATTCCCATAATTCCTAACAGCCTCAGGCTGTTAGGAATTGTGAGAGTTGAAGTTCAAAACACCCGGAGGACTGAAATTTGCCCATGCCTGGTGTAGATGCACCTGGCGCACATTCTCCATTGGGGTTCAATGGTATGCTTCAGCCCAAGTATAGCCAAAACATGTGGTTCGGGAGCCTCAAAAGATATCCCTGCAGAGAGAAGGGTTCATATTATGTATCTGAAGATAGAAAGAAATTGGGGCATGGCGAAGAAGAAGAGGAGGAGGAGGATGAGTTGTTGTTGTTGCTGCTGCTTTGGAGCAAAATACTCCTGACTTCATGATCGTGTTAAAAAACAATGTATGGATCGTCGATGTTGCAATCCCAGGCAACAGCAAGATTGAAAAGAAACAACTGGAAAAGCTGACATGATAGGAGGATTTAAAGATCAAACTGCAACGACTCTGGCACAAGCCAGTAAAGGTGGTCCCAGTGGTGATCGGCACACTGGGTGCAGTGCCTAAAGACCTTGGCCTGCACTTAAACACAATTGGGCTGACAAGATTACCATCTGTCAACTGCAAAAGGCCACCCTACTGGGATCTGCACACATTATTTGCCAATGCATCATACAGTCCTAGACACTTCGGAAGTGTCCGATGTGTGATCCAATACAACAGCCAGCATAGTGACCTTGTTTGCTGTGTACTAATCTTGTTATGTTTCAAATAATAATAATTTATTTGTATCTTGCCCCATCTCCCTAAGGGTATTCAGAGAGGCTTATAATACCATAACAGTGCAAAACATAAACAATAATGAACTAAGATAAACCACAAAATTATCTTAATTATCTACAAAGTGCAATCCACGACATGCGAGTGTGGAGAGGAGCAAACCACTGACCACCTGCTGCAATGCAACCTGAGCCCTGCCACATGCACAATGGAGGACCTTCTTGCAGCAACACCAGAAGCACTCCAAGTGGCCAGATACTGGTCAAAGGACATTTAATGAACTACCAAACTTGCATATTTTGTATTTTATCTGTTTGTTTGCTTTGTTAGAAATGTAATATAATTGACTGATTGACCTGACACGACAAATAAAATAAATCTTAAGTCAGCAAAAGCAATGCAAAAGAATATAAAAACATATTAAATTGACACAATAACATCATTTGTAAATGGAAGTAAACAGTGGTGATGTTATAGAAACCTTTTGACTGCTTTAGGAAGAGAGCTAAGATGGGTTGTGCCTTGGGCTACAACTCTGGAGGCATGTTGCACTCTCTCAGCCTCATTTTGACAAGGAAACCCTGTAATCGATTGGCCTTAGGGTCTGAAGCAGGCATGGGCAAACTTGGGCCCTCCAGGTGTTCAACTCCCACCATTCCTAACAGCATCAGGGTCCTTCCTTTTCCCCTTCAACCTCTTAAGCTGAGAAAATATCATTTTCTACTGCTCTTTCAGGCCTTTAGCAATGTAGCTACACCAGACATGGGCAAACTTGGGCCTTCCCTCCAGATGTTTTGGACTTCAACTCTCACAATTCCTAACAGGCTGTTTCTTTCCTTTCCGCTTAAGTGGCTGAAGGGGAAAGGGCAGGCCCCGAGGCTGTTAGGAATTGTGGAAGTTGAAGTCCAAAACATCTGGAGGGCCCAAGTTGGCCCATGCCTGGTCTGGAGGAAGGCACACAGCAACAACATTCAGTCTGTACCCGAAATCATCTACGAAGCAAGCCCTTATGATCCTATCTATAGTTTTGGACGCCCTAAAGTCGTTGATGTGGCCATTGGGAAGCAAGAGGAGGCCTGTCCTGGCCCTACCTTGGCCCGCTGGTCCCAGCTGTACTGCGGCTGCTTCTCTGAGGCGGCGTTGACCGCCTCCTCCTCCCCGTCCTTCCTCTCCCTCTCCTCCGGGGATGCCGCGTCGCCCCGGTCCCCGCTCTTCGGCTCCTTGGCCTGCTTCCGCCGCTTGGAGAAGAAGCAGCCCATGGTCCGGCGCCGCCCAAAGAGCTCCTCCGCCTTCTCCGCCTCCGCCGCCTCCCGCTCCCCGAATGAGCCGCCGCGCGCCCCGCCCTCGCCTTTAACACCTCGCTTCCGGCTTTGTCCCTCGGACCGTCTCCCAGGGCGACAGCCGCTTCGCTCCCGCCCCCTTCCAGAGCACGAAACCAATCAGAAAGCCATCTCCTGGATCATTCCTATCAATCACCCTCTCCGGCCAATAGGGACACTTCTTTGCCGTTTCATAGAACCATAGAGTCGTAAGAAACCACAAGGAGCATCCAGCACAATCAAAACCCTCCCGACAGATGGCCAACCAGCCTCTACTTTAAAAAAAACAGAGAAGGCGACTCCACTGCACCCCGAAGGGACATAACATATTATACTCCCGAACAGCTTTTACCGTTACTACTACTACTACTACTACTACTACTAATGATAATAATAATAATAGGCCCCCCTGGTGACTCAGCGGGTTAAACCTATGAACTGCTGAACTTGCTCTCTGAAAGGTTGGCGATTCGAATCTGGGGAGCAGGGTGAGCGCCCACTGTTAGCCCCAGCTCCTGCCAACCTAGCGGTTCGAAAACATGCAAATGTGAGTAGATCAATTAGATACTGCTCCAGCGAGAAGGTAACGGCGCTTCATGCAATCATGCAGACCACATGGCCTTGGAGGTGTCTACGGACAACGCTAGCTCTTTGGATTAGAAATGGAGATGCGCACCACCCCCAAGTCGGTCACGACGAGACTTAATATCAGGGGAAACCTTTACCTAGTAGTAATAATAATAATAATAATAATAACGCTTGGGAATTGTTCCACCATCTAGATCTTGTTTGCTGTGACATACCATATTTTTGTGCCAGTAAAATTATAATAATTTTATTTCTTACCCGCCTCTCCTCATGGCTCAAGGTGGGTTACAAAACAATTAAAACACATAAACACAGCAAAAACACAACAAATACACACACTAAAACGTAACTCCATAAAAGTTAAATACCAAAACATATCTATGAAATACATATTATCTTGTCTCCTGTTCCTTGAAGTGACTGGCCTGACCTTGAAAGAGCTGGGGGTGGTGACAGCCGACAGGGAGCTCTGGCATGGGCTCGTCCGTGAGGTCACGAAGAGTTGGAAACGACTGAACGAATAAACAACAACAACAACAACATAATACATTGTATGTATATATATTTTGTAAGCTGCTCTGAGTCCCCTTCAGGGTGAGAAGGGCAGCATATAAATGTCATAAATAAATAAATATTAAAACAGACAAAACAGAGAGTAAACAAAGGACATGCATTAAAATTGATGTTTCTCTTTGAAGACTATCTGGGTAGGCCTGCCGGAAAAGACAGGTCTTCAGTTGTGTTTTGAGATCCGACAGTGATGTAGTTGTTGGAACTCTTGGAACTACTGGCAGGTCATTCCACAGTTATGAGGTGGCAGCTGAAAGGGTCCTCTGGGTTATGTTTGCCAGTTGGGTTTCCGAAGGCTGGAGCAGATGCCCCCCCCCCCCAACGCTCCTTCAGAAGATCAAAGTGTTCAGGGCGGATTGTACAGGAGAAGCTGATCCTTTAGGTAACCTGGACCCAAACCATGTAGGGCTTTAAAGGTCACTAATTGGCAGCCCATGGAGTGACTTCTGGATAGGTGTGATGTATGTATAGATGTTCCTGTATGGGTGTTCTTGTAACCAATCTGGCTGCTGTATTTTGAACCAGTTGGAGTTTCCAAACTTGACATGAGGGCAGCCCAATATAAAGAGCATGGCAGAAGTCCAACCTTGAGGTTACCAGCATGTGCACTACCATCTTCAGATCCTCCAAATCTAGGAAGGGGCACAGCTGACGGATCAGCCGAAGCTGATAGTACGCACTACTGACCATTAGGAAGTGTTTCCTAATGTTGTTGTTCATTCGTTCAGTCGTCTCCGACTCTTCGTCATTCAGACTAGACATCTGTGAGTCAACACTGCAGCCTTGTTATGATAAATTATGGTAATATAAATTAAGAGGCGGTCAGAATTAACAGATGGCATCTGGCTGTCTAAGAAAACTCACAAAACATATGTCAGATTCTTTGGCTACAGCAGACTAATGCAACCATCCCACCGCATTTGCCTAACAATAACATGAAACATGGAAATGCATGTTTAAAACTAGACAAAGGAAAAGTTCTGAAGAGCTTTGTGGCTGTTATGCTTATGGCGATCTTGAGATCATCTTTTTTTTTCCTGGGGCTGAGAGCATGTGACTCACCCAATGTCAGCCACTGAGTTTCCAGTGGCTGGAGTTTCCAGAATCATAATCCAACGCTCAAACCAGTACACCACACCAGCTCCCTTTGGAGAGTTACTGTAAACCTTCTGGTGCATTTAAAAAGAAATACAATGAGAACTCTTGTATTATTATCCCTCTCTTTTTTTCTTTTTTCTTTTTTTTTTGCATTACAAAGTACCACAGCATCCTGTATGAAGTCAGTCTGGTCCTGCCCCCTAAGTGTGAAAAGACAAATTGCCACAATATCAAATTATTTATAGCTAAGCAGCTATACACAAAGGAAAGAGAGGGCATTTTCCTTCAGCTCCTTGTACAATGTTAGCGGGGTTTATGTTTGGGAAATCTCGCACTACTGTATTATTATTTTCTTCTCTGCTGTTGAAGCAATAACCCCAACAGGGGGCGCTGTTCAGGTACAAACAATTGGATGAATATGCACTGAAAAGGGATGCATCTACACTGCAGACTTAATGTAGTTTGACACCACAGTGGCTGCCAGGATTCAATGCTATGGATTCCACTGAGTTGTAGTTTGGTGAGGCACCACCACTCTTTGGCAGAGAAGGCTAAAGATTTTGTAAAACTAAAAAGCTGAGGAATCCATAGCATTAATCCATAGTGGTTTAAGTAGTGTCGAATTGCATTAATTCTACAGTGTGGATGCATCCATAGAAAGGAGATTGTCTTCTTCTTTATTGTCCCCAGAGTATAATTCTGGACCAAAGAGGCACTACATCTCTTGGCTGAGTGCTTGCCCCGTTTTACAATAAAGGAAAGATTTTTGACTGACAGCTCAGAAAAGTCTGGTTGATGTTTTGGTTCATAACAAGATTTCTTGACAGCTGGGAAACTTTGAGTCTTTGGAATGAGCCTGAAGAGAGCAGCACCTCTTCAAATAAACAGAGAAAAAGCAAAATGGTAGTAAATTGAACTGAAAGAGAATGAAAGATAGACATGGATTGCAATTTTTGCATGTATGTGTGCATGAAGGTACTATCTGATTATAGGTCATGTTTGCTTCAAGTCACCTTCGAGCTGAGAGGGGCGGCATAGAAATGCAATAAATAAATAAATATTTGTTATGTACCATTTCTCATGGAAATTCCTTCTAAAACTGCTTCCATAAGCTAAATGTTTCAAAAACTAATGAAAACTGTGCTCCCTCATCTAGAACAAATGGATCTTGTAGGACTGTTCGTGCAACTTGTTAGCAGTCAGGGAACTGAGAAACATGCAACATTAGAAACAATTGGAAATGTGATCCAGGCAATTAATTATTTATAGGGCTGACCATAAAAACCCTAGTTCCCTTTCTTATATTATATTACAATACTGTTGTTATTAAACCCAAAACCAAAATTGTATCATTTTGGTGCACATATAAACCTATTTTGTGTATATCCACTGAGAAGTACAGTTGTATAGAAATAACATGCTAAATAATTGGACTAAATAATTGTTTTACTCTTTTGTCTAAACTTAGAATTTTTAGACCTTAGCATTATACATACATTAAACTCCAACTTAAATTAAACACTGTCAGCTAACAAGTTAATAACTTTCCCTAACATGACCTCATTCAACAGATTATACCGTAAACATGACAACTCTCTTGAGGAAATGCTGGTAGAGGGCTCCAAAGAACTAATTACTCCAGTTATTGATACTGCCAAGGGAGAGGAGACGAGAAAACAAATGTGTAAGCATTAGACCATTAGCTTGGGCATATGCTGTAATTAACACAATGGGGCTTATTTCTGAGCAGATAAGATTAAACAGGGGACTCTGACCAGGACTGTGGAGTTTGAGTAAGAATTGGAAGCAATTTTGGATGGAGACAGTAAAAATGTACTGACTTGTAATATGTATAATATTAAATGCCTCATCTGTTGCATATTTATTTTCATAGGAATCAACAGACATTTTCTTGATCAGGTTTTTTTTTAACCAAATGAATATGTTTGTTGTTGTTATGTGACTTAAAGTTGTTTCTGATTTATGGAGACCTGAGGGTGAATGGATTGTGGGGTTTTCTGAAGCCGATAGTAGGTCATAGAATAGAATCATAGAATTGGAGGAGACCACAAGCGACATCCAGTCCAGCCCCCTGCTGTGCAGGGAAATACAATCAAAGCACCCCCGACAGATGGCCACCCAGCACTCTGAGGCTGCCTACTGTATTGCTGAACAACTCTTATCATCAGGAAGTTTGTTTAGGCTGAACCTCTCCCCTAAAACTTTGAATCAATTGTTCTATGTCCTAGTCTCTAGAGAAAATAAACTTGCCCCCTCCTCAATGAGACACCCTTTCAAATAGTTAAACAAGTCACACAGTGGATTTCCCTGGAATCCAGAGAGATAATTCCATACTCAAAACACTATTCATTTTCTATCAGTATAAGTAGACTGATGATTCACGTGGTGGTGATTAAATTCCTTTATGTTACAATTTACTGCAAAAAGGTCATTACTAATATACATTTTCCATTTATGACGAAGTCAGGCAGTAGGGGAAAAAAGGAGTTAAGAGTCAATGGTTTGGCATGCTGATTCCACAGTCCAGACTCAGGCAACAAACTCATCCCATTGGTAATGATGCTATATAGCTTTAGTTTTCAGGCATGGTGCTATATATCTTTAGTTTTCTCCAAACAGAATTATTTATGACAGTGGTTGTTGTGTGTTTTCCAGGCCGTATAGCCATGTTCCAGAAGCATTCTCTCCTGACGTTTTGCCTACAACTATGGCAGGCATCCTCACAACCTCTGAGGATTTATTTTTTCCGTGCCGGTAGCAACTTGAGAAACTGCAAATCACTTCTGGTGTGAGAGCAATGACTGTCTGCAAGGATGTTGCCCAGGGGACG